GGTCCCGGTTCGTCCCACCAACCGGGACCAAAAGGTACAGACGAACCGGGACCAATGGCCCACGTGGCCCGGCCGGCCCCCGGGGCTCACGAGCCGGGTCCAATGCCCCCATTGGTCCCGGTTCTGGATTGAACCGGGACTAATGGACTGATCCGGCCTGGACCATTGCCCCCTTTTCTACTAGTGACCATTGCGTGCTATGGAGATTCTCGAGTTTGTTAGAGACATTGACAAGGTTTTCATACATAGAAGAGCGAGATGATGGTCTCTTTGTGGTACTTAGAAGAGCGATCTTTTGTAGAACTATATTTTTTCCATACTATTATGATGTAGTTCTCTGCACCATTACAAATAAATAATTTGTGGCATGTGTTTTTAGTTCAAAAACCATCATATGCTATGTACTGAATTTCTTTCAAAATACAATATATTTTGAATTTTTATTTGTCCAGAAAGGCCTCATTTTGTCGTCTTTCACCAGGGGCCCCGAATATGTATGGATCGGCCCTAGCCGTTGCCGTTCCCATGCCGATGACGGCCCCTATTTTAATCATGGGTCGTGCTGGTGTGTGCTTCCATGGTCCGGCTGGTGTGTCCCTCGCGCATGTACAATCTCCATCAAGGTGGACCATGGTGACACTGTGCCGAGACAAAGCTAGCCTCGTGACCATTCTTGTAAACAGAAGCAAATTCGGATATCACAAGAAGCAAACACTTTTTTTATTGGAACCATTGTTTCATTCATAGAAAAAAAAAATCAACAATGTCATATTTTTCTCTCTTTTCGGATGCAATATTGTAGATCTGAGGAAATATTTGTAACGTGGGAAGCAAATACTATTTTCTTTGGAAGCATTGTTGATGAAAGCAAATATATTTCTTTTCTACGTTGTAAACAATTTTTATTCATATCTTGGAGGCAATCTCGTTGGACAAGGGAAAGAAATATTCTAGGTAGGAAGCAAACTCAAACTGGATTGGATTCACCACAGTTGGAAACATTTTTTTTCGTATGGAAGCAAACTGCGTGCCCCCTAATTACACGCAGCACTAATACTAAGAATAGAAGAGATTATAGGAAGCAATTATCAGAGATTGTTTCCTAAAAATGGTGCTTCCATTGCAAAGACGATGAACAACCTAAAAACTTAAACTATGAGAGAGTAAAAGCGATCCACACGCGTGGATCCGGCGACCCCCGCTCACCACCGACGACCGAGGTCGCCGGCGGAGGGGAGCCGCCGGAGAACGGCGTTGGAAGATCGGCCTCCGCTGGCGGCGGCTAGGGTTCCAGCCGCCAGGAGGAGAGGAAAACTGCTTCGATTTGGAACCAAGTGCGTGACTTATTGATTGTTCACCAATTGATGGAAACATAAATTACTGCGTGTGAGATGAATTTTTTTTTTACATGGAAGCAGTTCCTGCGGAAGCAAAACTGAATAAAACTGGAAACAACATTTTTTGTAAGGCCGCAAATTATATCGCGTACAATGCCTATTTTCTACAGTTATTACTCTCCTTACCATCCGAAATTTGTTGCCTAAATATATGGAGAACATTGATTTAGTTACCTAAAGAATGGAAGTAATTATTAGCAAATCCTACGTAATCAGCTCCGGCAGGTTTTAATTTTAGAAACTAAGTGTGTGCAGGGGCCAGCTCATCTAGCGGCTATACACACTTCCATCCAACGGCTTGCTAAAGGTCTGATAGGAAGCTACGATCAATAGTCTGATCCCTAGCGGTTCCCACTATATGCTAATAATGAAGTCGCAAATAATACCTTTTGGCAGCTGACCATATTATATCTAAAACAAGACTAGCGAATAATGCATGTCTTAGTTTATTTTTATTTTTCCCACTGTTGCACTTTTCGATACGCATATGGTACAAAGTAACAACCTCTAATAAAATATAAGAAGTCACCAAAAATAGTCTTATATTTTTGATACAAATGGAGTATTCATTAGCCGCGTAATAATTATTCAAATCTGAAAATGAAGGGACTGGATTCTCCTAGCAAGTGTGGAGCAACGGGGTGTCGGCGTACGGGCCGTTGAGCACCCCATTAGCGATGACATTGTATGCCTTCTCCGTCATGTGGATTTGGTCCCAGTTGGTGAACCTAGATGGGTTGCGGCAAACCTTCGCCTTCTGGTTGCACTCATGGCCTGTGCCATAGGGGCCATTGCCACCACAACATGCCACCAGAGGCTTGTCAATGCCATTCCTGAGAGGATTCTTGACAAACTCCATGAAGGCGCCATAGTAGTCTCCGTAGATGATCTTCACGCCGGGGTTCTGCGACTTGAGCATGCTGATCTCTTGTTTCAGTAGCTGGTTGTGCTTCTGGGAGAATGTGTTGAACCACTTGAGGCAGCCAAACTGGTCATAGTCCCCGGACGTGTTGCTCTTGTAATCTCTGAGGTAAACCGGCACGCACCCAATGGGGAAGTTCCCTGGGACAAGGACAGTCTTGGCACCGAGCTTGATCACCTCTTGGACGCCGGCGCCTATGCGGGCAACCACGTCCGGTATGTACTCCTGGGCTGTGTACCGGCTGCGCCTACGATCGAAGAACCAGAAGTTGTAGTCGTTGCCGCCGATTTCGCCAAAGACAACCAGGGATTCGCTCAGGAGCCTCTTGGTGGCAGCTGATCACAGACAAAAAATAAAAAGAATAAGTTGACCAAGAACACAATTTGCATGCAGACATGTGGCCTAATTAGAATATGATAAGCTGACTGTAACGTATGTTTTTGCATGCGTTACGTACCATCTCCCGGAGCAATCCGTGCGAGCACTCTCTTGAAAGAAGCCAGCTGCTCGTCGAGGCACCCGCGCTGCAGACTGAAGTTATACCTTGACATGAAGTACTTGGGGTTGAGCGCAATAGAGCCAAACACGGCAAAGTTGGCACCGGTCCGGAACTTCCCCGTCTTCTCCTGGGGAATGCTTGGCGGCAGCAGCGGCAGACCCAACACTTGCGCTGACACAACATCAGGCACCAAATTTAGCAAGCACACGAAATTCGAACTGTTCGAACACACATGCATGCATGTACGTATACTCACCGTAGAAGTCGATGATGAGACGCCCATCGGAGGCACGGCCTGTGGGGCGGTGGAAGTAGGTCTCTCCATATGGGGGCACCGAGGGCGGACTCGGTGGACTGTTCCGGCTGATAGCTAACATGGGGAGTTTAGTATTCAAGATGGGTTCAAGATGGGTTCCCTTCATCCCCATTTATAATGGGGATGAAGCCATAGGATTAGAATCATCATGACTGTCTGATTAGTTTCCTTCTTAATTGATTGTTTTTTGTTAATTGCTCCCGTAAATCTAGCTGCTTCCATGGTCCGGCTGGTGTGTCCCTTGCGCATGTACAATCTCCATCAAGGTGGACCATGGTGACATTGTGCCGAGATAAAGCTAGCTCTGTGACCATTCTTGTATACAGAAACAAATTTGGACATCACAAGAAGAAAATACTCTTTTTGTTGGAAGTATTTTTTCGTTCAAAAAAAATTCAACGATGTCATATTTTCTTTCTCTTTTCGGATGCAATTTTGTGGATCTGAGGAAATATTTGTAACTTGGGAAGGAAACACTATTTTCTTTGGAAGCGCCGTTGATGGAAGCAAATACATTTCTTTTCTACGTTGTAAACAATTTTTATTCATATCTTGGAAGCAATCTCGTTGGACAAAGGAAAAAATATTCTAGGTAGGAAGCTAATTAAAATTGGATTGGATTCACCACAGTTGGAAACATTTTTTCTCGTATGGAAGCAAACTGCATGCCCCCTAATTACACGCAGCGCTAATAGTAAGAATAGACGAGATTATTGCAAGCAATTATCAGGGATTGTTTCCTAAAAACGGTGCTTCCATTAGTAAAGAAAAATGCTTCCAACAATGGAAGCAAGAATATTTTTTGTTTTTCGTGGAAGCAGTATCGTGATGCTTTCGAAACAATATATAATTAGACACAAATCTTGTTGTGTTCACCAATTGATGGAAACATAAATTACTGCGTCTAAGATGGAAAAGAAATCCACATGGAAGCAGTTCCTTCGGAAGCAAAACTGAATAAAATTTTTTGTAAGGCCGCAAATTATATGGAGAACATTGATTTAATTTCCTAAATAACGGAAGTAATTATTAGCAAATCCGACGTAATCAGCTCGGGCAGGTTTTAATTTTAGAAACTGCGCGTGCGCAGGGGCCTGCTCATCTACCGACTATACACACTTACATCCAACGGGTTGCTACTGGTCTGATAGGAAGCTACGATCAATAGTCTGATCCCTAACGGTTCCCACTATATGCTAATAATGAAGTCGCACATAATACCTTTTGGCCGCTGACCATATATCTGAAACAAGACTAGCCAATAATGCATATCTTAGTTTATTTTTGCTTTTCCCACTGTTGCACTTTTCGATACGCATATGGTACAATGTAACAACCTCTAATAAAATATAAGAAGTCACCAAAAATAGAGCACGTTGATTTGGAGCTCGGGCTCAGCTGCTCCCATAATCTAGATCGTCCGTTCCTGTCTTGGGATGTGAACGTTTACAGCTGGCGTGTCCTGTGCGGTCGTGGATAAATGGGGAAAACCACCGAATGCGGTAGGGAACAGTAGGCCGGGAGTGGGTCCGGCCCGTCTCGTGCGGACAGCCCGCGCGGGTGAACGGTCTGGGGCGTGGAACAGGAACGATGGTCCCTTAGTAGGCCGTGGACGAGGACGTTAGTTTTTCTTAGCTGGGCCTGGATCCGATAAGGGGTCCAAGACGAGGTTCGTTGTCTGAGCCGCTTTTCGGCAGGCAGGGCGCACACGTATCGTCAAAAGGATGGAAGAGACCGAAAAAAAATCCCCTTCCCTTACCCTGGTCCCTTCTAGTGACCTGTCGCCGCTGTCGAAACCCAAAAGGGGATAGAGTTCGCCGGGGCGCGCTGTAACATGTGGCGGCGGGAGCATGGACATAGCGAAGGATGGACGCTGAGGCAATGGAGTTCCTACTGGACGCGGTCGACAGGTTCGTGTCTTTTGCAGATCTGGTTGAAACTTCTCGCTGGTACATAACTAATTTTATACCGGCCGTTCGCCGTTGTGTACTCAGGTTCCCGTGCGGGAGGAGTTTGCTGACAGTCTTGAAAACCCGGGTCCAGTCCCACCCGCCTACCTTCGGGAGAAGGGGGGCGGGGGGTGCAAATCCGGGGTTAAGTTGGGAAGAAGACCATTCTAGAATGGCTGATACGGTGTGCGCAGGTGTGCTTAATGACGCTGAAGGAGGTTCCCAGCGTCGGCGTGATGAATCTCCGACGAGGTCTGCTCAATCAACTGGGAGGGTTAATCCAGAAGCCCCAGGCTGGACTAAAAGGTTTGGCTCAAGCTAGTTCAATCAGTGCATTGTGGTATTTGCGCTGTTAGAATATCAGCTGTTAGAGACCTGGTTGATATTTTAGCTTGATCCTGTTTGATTTTTTGATATTAGGAAATTATAATCTGATATACAAGTCTAACAGAGAAAATGAAAAAATCTGAAAGAAAAGAATTGTTGCACGAGTGTCAGCTTGCATATGGTTGTTCTGAACTAACAGCTACCCAGTGCATTACGTGTTGCTCCTGAGAGATGCTTATTTTATGTTTTCCAATTTGATAGATAAAACATGTTCGCTTAGGAAAAGAAGTTGTTGCAAGAATCCTAGCCACTGAAAAAGTTAGGAGAAACAGATCCTGTTTGCGTGGGTTGGGACGTACCTTTTTTGGTCTGTAAACTAACGAACCGGGCGCATTTGAAATCTCACAGGCTCCGTCTTGGAAGTGCGCCATTGGACCGTGTGCCATGTCCGTCAAGGATGAGCACTCTTGAGCTTTCGATGAGGAAATATGCCGAGCAGCCTGACAAAAGTGTGGTGCGACCTGAGCTAGGTCTTAGTTTTGATTCGCTAGGAGAGGCGAATGATTTCTACAACTTATATTCATGGGAAATCGGCTTTGGGATACGATATGGGAAAAGCAGGCTGAACACCGAGAGGACAAAAGGCATGCACGAGATAGTATGCGGTTTGCTTGGTGAGTGGCCGTTTGCTTGCATATGAATTGGAAAGCACATATAAACTGATTGGTTGTGCAGTTCAAATTGGAGGGCTATTTTCTAAATCGGTTTGATGTGTTTTTTGCAGGGGAAACCAGATGCCGTAAACAGTAGGTCTTGCAGGTGTGAGTGCCCAGCTCTGATCAGGCTACTACGTGCATCAGACAACAGTTGGTACATCACAGAACACCGTACGAGCCACAACCATTCCATGTCGCTAACTATGGGTGAGAAAGTGCACTGGCCGTCTCATAAACACATAGATGTGTACACCGAAGATTTGATAAGACAGCTAAGGGAGAACAAGATGAACCTCAGCAAGGTATACAGCATAATTGGAAGTTTTTTTTGGTTCAGTTGAAAAGGTGCCGTTCACGAAAAGGCCACTAAGGAACATATGTGGGAAGATTAGTCTTGAACAAGCTGAGGACGATGTGCGGAAGACACTGCAGGTGCTTGCGGACATCCGATCAAGCGACCCTGGTTTCTCGTTTGTAGTGCTCGCCGAAAAAGATAGCAAGGTGAAGAATCTAATTTGGGCTAATGGAAGCAGTTGGATGCAGTACAGGTTCTTTGTCGATGTGGTCACATTCGACACCACATACAAGACAAACTTGTACGACATGCCGTTTGGTTTATTTGTTGGAGTTAACAATCACTACCAGAGTATCATCCTGACAGGCGTGCTGATGCGTGACGAGCAGGAAGAGACCTTCGAATGGGTGTTCTCAGAATTCGTTCGGATGATGGGTGGGCCTCCTACGAAAACAATACTTAGAGGTAGAATTTTTCAAAAAGGAAGATTGTGCATCCTGGATTGTTTATTAACTTTGTTGCCTTCCTGTAGATCACTATAATAAAAAATGATAAAAAATAGAAGGAAGTCTTCACTTGTGCTGCTTTATGATAATCGGGTTTTCTATCTGCAGACCAATGTAGGGCCATGGAGGTTGCAATCAAGAAAATCTATCTAGACATTGTGCACTGTTGGTGCAAGTGGCATGTTCTTAAGAGAGCAAAGGAAACCCTAGGGCCACTTTACACAAAAAAAGTGATTTCTAGGCTGAGTTTCACAAAGTTGTTAACCATATGTTAACTGAGGAGGAATTTGAATCAGCTTGGGAGGCACTCCTGGATAAATACAACTTGAGAGGGCATGCCTATATGACCCAAATATACGAGACCAGGGGAAAATGGGCAAAACCATATTTCAAGGGTGTGTTCTGTGCGAAGATGACAAGTTCCCAGCGAAGTGAGAGTGCAAACCACATGCTGAAATCTTACATGCCCCCTGCAAGCCCAATGCATGTTTTCGTCCGCCAATATATGAGACTACAATTTGACCGGGAACGCGATGAGACCTACGAGGAAAAAAGGACCATGATTGTAAATACCTAGCTGCCATTTATGACATGTTTTTTGGATGTTGCTTTCATAATTTGTACTCGTGAACTGACTGATCCTTATGAAAAAATTTCCTTCGTGCCAGGGCGGCGCCGTGCGGCGGACTAACCTTGCGATAGAGCGGCATGCCAGCAAAATATATACCAGGAATATGTTTGAGGAATTTGGCAGCTTGCTGTTGGAAGGAACAACATACAATGTCACTGAAGTGGAGAGAATGAAGAAGTACATCACAACTCACAATAATGCAGCGAAGAGGGAGAAGTGGAGAAGGGTAGAATACGAGGTGACCATTAACGAAGACAAATCAATATTATCGTGTGAGTGTGGTCAGTTTGAACACACAGGGATGCTTTGCAGCCATGCATTGAGGGTGAGCTAGGTCAACGTTTGTGATGTACAAAATTATTGAATTGGTGGGGAAAAACATCCGTCGGTAACATTTTGTCCGTGATCATGTAGGTCATGGGGATTCTACATCTGGATAAGATCCCTAAGCACCATATCGTAAAACAGTGGACAAGAGACACGAGGGATTCCCAGATCACCTGGTTCGGTACCAGAAAGACAAGTCACAAAATTTGTCTTCCACATGCAGGCAGGCGACACTATACTTTAAAGCCATGGAGTTGGTGAGAATGGGGGACGCAAGTGCTACCTGCTATGACCACATGCATGCTGGCGTCGAGTCTCTTCTACAGAGTGGAGCACCTCTGGCGGTCTCAAGGGATGGTTTGGCTTTCGAGGATCGTCTCATTCAAAATGGAAATGGCTGTGTCCCCACCAATTGCGAGCCTGCTTTGATTGATCGTGAAGTTGAACCATGCCACAGTGCTGCAAATTCTTTAAATGTGAATTCCTTGCAGTGCCGGACAAGCGTAGAGGTGTTATCGAATAATCTAGTTGAGTCGCGGTGGATATCCAAAGAGAAGGAACCACCACAGGATCATAGCTCCAGTGAGATCCCTGAAGAACCTGCCAGGTATTGGAGAACCTGACGTCCAACACAACCATGTAGCGACGGACGTGCTCGTCCTCCTCCCTGACAAGGTGACATACCATCTCCTCGGGGGACGCCAGTCTCCGCACCGAATGTGGCCCACGCGCCCGCCACCAAAGAAACTCCGGGTCGACGACGGGACCCTGGTTCCTCACCAGATGCGTGCCCCTGAAGGTAGCACCTCCCATTGCCAGCCCGGCGGAGCCCAGTCCCGGACATGGCGCCTCTGTAGCAGGACGTCGCCGCAAACGGGTCGACGGCGAGGATGCGGGCCGGGCATCATTGACGTCGGTAACAAATTCTTATGAAATAAACTTCCTATATATGCAATGTCATTTTATTAGGGAATTTTGAGCAACTTTTCCTATGCAACTTTTCCTAGTCCTTCGTCTAACAAATATAATTTTGAGCAACTTTTTCCTATGCAACTTTTTTATATGCAATTTTTTTCTATACTATGATATATAACATTATATAAAATTAAAAAACTGAAAAATAAACACTAATTAAGCATCTAAAACTAAAAACTAATTAACACTATGGCTAGACATCTAATCTAAACTAATTGAAATTAAAATAATAATCTAAAATATTTAAAGCTAAAATATGTAAACTAATTAAAGCTATGGCTAGACATCTAATCTAAATTAATTAAAAGTAAAATAATAATCCAAAACATGTAAATTAATATCTAAACATATATACTAGTGAAAATGTGTGTGTGTGTGTGTGTCTGTGTGTGTGTGTGTGTGTTCATCGATCCTGCATAGTGTGTGTGTGTGTGTGTGTGTGTGTGTGGCCGGGCTCGGGGAGGGGCGGCCATGGCGACCGGGGGCGAGGGAGAGCGGGGAGAGCTCACAGCGGGCGGCGACGACTCCGAGGCGAGGCGACGGGGGCGCCGATGCACTACTAGGGAAAACCTTATAAACAGAACTTTAGCAGTAGCGTGGGTCAAAAAAGCACGCTGATGCTAAGTAGCAGTAGCGCTCCTGCGCAAACCGCGCTACAGATAAAGTCCTAGCAGTAGCGCGCCTTATTCTAAACACATTACTACTAAAATTCCCACAGCTTAGCCTATAGGCTACACATAGTAGTAGCGATCTATATCGAACCGCGCTACCGCTACTTTCTTTGTAGCAGCGCGTTTTCTTCTAAACTCGCTGCTGCTAAAGGATATAAAATTAAATGGAAAGCAAATAGAAAGGTAACTGAAAATGAAAGAAATAGAATAAGGTGAAAGGAGAAAAATAAAATGTGAAGAAAAACAAATGAAAAAGGGAAAAAAAGAGAAAGGAGTAGCAGTAGCGTGTATCCCAGAACGCGCTGTAGCTAACGTAGCAGTAGCGCGCTTTCTGGAACTCGCTACTGCTACTTCTGACTTAACCACGGGGTTCGTCCTTCCCCACGACCACTTCCCCCAAATCCAACTCCTCCGCTCTCGCCACCGCCGCCGCCCGTCGCCTGCCGTGCGCTCTGCGCACGCCCTCTACGCCGCCCCGACCCCGGATTCAACGCCGCCCCCGTCCCCGACCTCAACACCGCCCCGGACGCCGCCTCCGACCCCGACCTCGACACCGTCCTCCGCCTCGCGCCCGAGCCCCAACCCCGACCTCGACACCACCCTCCGCCGCGCGCCCGAGCCCCGAGCCCGACCTCGACGCTGCCTGCCCCTCCCTTGTCGCAGGCACCCGAGGTGAGCACGCCTGCTCCTGCCTCTCCCCTACCTATGTCTAGGGTTTCTTCATATTTTAGTTGCATCAAATTAGTTAGGGTTCACGTAACGATGGAAACGACTCGGATGCGGATGCGTCTCAAATTAGTTAGGGTTCATGTAAGGGTGGAAACGAATCAAATTTCTAAGATGAATCATAAAACGAGTAAAAAAATTATTTATAGTTCCTAGGTACTAATTTAGGTACTAGTTAGTAAGAACTAGGTACTAATTAGGTACTAGTTTATTTTTATTTATAGTAAGTTCATTTTTAGTAAGAACTAGTTGAATTAATAGAACTAGTTAGTAAGATATTATTGTTATTTTTTTAGTTAAAGCATTTTTTCCCGCATCGACGTGGACGATACCTATCCCGCATCCTCGTCGTCGAGTCGGCGGAGGACACCTGCATCACCAGATGGGCCATGTCCGGGACTGGGCTCCGCCGGGGTGGTACTAGGAGGCGCTACCTATCGAGGGGCGCAGGTTGGTGAGGAGCCAGCCTGTCGTTGACCCGAACCTTCTTTGGTGGCGGTCGCGTGGGCCAGTGACAGTCCAGAGGCTCGAGGACCACGCAGAGGTGGTGCGTCATCGTGTCAATGCAGAGGACGCGCACATCCGTCGCTACTTGTTTGCGTTGGAGCACAGATTCTCCAATACCTGGCAGGTTCTCCAGGGATCTCACTGGAGCTATGATCCTGTGATGGTTCCTTCTCTGTGGGTGTCCACCGCCCGCGCCGATACCCGTCGTGTGCTAGGGTTTTAGTTGTATTAGTGATGTTATATGTATGATACTATTCAGGATGTATTAGTGATAATATTTGATGATGTACAGACGCATGAGATTATTTACTTTTGCTTATTGAATGCATGCTAATTTGAGTCCTAT